CATCTTGGAGGAAATGAGTGAAGAAGCCTGGGGATCACCTTGGAAAAACCAACAGACTGAACCTGGGGATCACCTTGGAGGAAACAAGAGAAGAAATTTTGGGATCACCTTGGACAAACCAAGAGAAGGAACCTGGGGACCACCTCGGGCAAACCAAGCAAAGAACCCACGGGCTCCATCTCCTCGCCCCGCGCCCTGGAAAAGCCTCTCCTCCTGCAGCCTCTCTCTCCAGCGGCGGAAGGAGCGCAGACCAAAGCGTTTCGCTGCCGAGCCAAGAGCCACGAGTCCCTTTGTCGCGGGGCCAGCTCGGCGCAGGTTTTGGCGAGCGCAGCCGCGGCCCGGCGCGGTGACGTCCCCGATAAGCGCTGACCCCTTATCGCCTCATTCCCCTTTGATCTCGCCCCCGAGGGCTTGCGCGGCTCTGCCCGTGGCCGACGCCGATTCCGCAGAATCCTCCTGGAGCACAAAGAAGCCCTTGAGGCCGGGGCAGCCCGAGGTGCCAATGGAAAGCGGAGGTCAGCAGATAAGAGCCGGCGCTGCCTCCCGGGATAAAAGCGGGAGCGCGGACAGCCCGGTCCGGCCGCCGCCKCCTCCCCAGGGGTCAACGTGGACTGCTCGGCACCATGAAGGGGCTCCTGGTGGTCCTGGCGTGTCTGCAGCTCGCCCAGGGGGCGGTGAGGTGGGTGAGCTGGGCGGGAGGAGCGGGGAAAGGGCGGGTGATGGGGCTGGAGGATGCTGAGCGGCCGGGAATGCGGCAACCGGCATCGGCACGGCGTGGGCACAGCCCGGGGACATGGGGACACCCTGGGGACACGGCCTGGGGACACGGCCTGGGGACAGGGAGAGATCCTGGGGACATGGAGACACCCTGGGAACAGAGCCTGGGGACACAGAAAGATCCTGGGGACACCCTGGGGACACGGCCTGGGGACACGGAGATATCCTGGGGACATGACCTGGGGACATGGAGAGACCCTGGGGACATGGAGAGATTCTGGGGACATGGAGGGATCCTGGGGACACAGAGAGACCCTGGGGACAGAGAAAAATCTTGGGAGCAACTTCTGGGACATGGAGAGCAGCTCTGGGGACCTGAAGAGCAGATCCAGGGACATGGAGAGATCCTGGGGACAGAGATATCCTGAGGACACGGCCTGGGGACATGGAGAGATCTTGGGGACAGAGAGATCCTGGGGACAAGGAGAGACCCTGGGGACACAGCCTGGGGACATGGAGAGATCCTGGGGACACCCTGGGGACATGGCCTGGGGACAGGGAGAGATCCTGGGGACATGGAGAGACCCTGGGGACAGAGCCTGGGGACACAGAAAGATCCTAGGGACACCCTGGGGACACGGCCTGGGGACACGGAGATATCCTGGGGACACGGCCTGGGGACACGGAGAGATCCTGGGGACACAGAAAGATCCTGGGGACACCCTGGGGACACAGAAAGATCCTGGGGACACCCTGGGGACACGGCCTGGGGACATGGAGAGACCCTGGGGACATGGAGAGATTCTGGGATCTGGAGAGATCCGGGAGACAGGGGGAGATGGAGGGATCCGGGGACATGGAGGGATCCTGGGGACACAGAGAGACCCTGGGGACAGAGAGAGATCCTGGGGAGCAACTTCTGGGACATGGAGAGCAGCTCTGGGGACCTGAAGAGCAGATCCAGGGACATGGAGAGATCCTGGGGACAGAGAGATCCTGGGGACATGTCCTGGGGACACAGAAAGATCCTGGGGACACAGAGAGATCCTTGGGACATGGAGAGATTCTGGGGACATGGAGAGATCCTGGGAACAGAGAGATCCTGGGGACACAGAGAGATCCTGGGGACATGGAGAGATCCTGGGGACATGGAGAGATCCTGGGAACAGAGAGGTCCTGGGACACAGAGAGGTCCTGGGGACAGAGAGAGCAGCTCCTGGGACTTGAAGAGATCTTGGGGACATGGAGAGAACCTGGGGACAGAGAGATTCTGGGGACAAGGAGAGACCCTGGGGACACAGAGAGATCCTGGGGACACAGAGAGATCCTGGGGACAGAGAGATCCTGGGGACAGAGAGA